ACTCTTTAAAATAAAGAGTTTACTGTGGGAGTACTACACTCAACCAACACCAGGGAAGGCAGTTTTTGTCAGAGCCCTTGTTATTCTTAATTTTGACATTAATTTTCATTTTTACACCAGACATGTATATATCGGTTCAAAATATCGGTTATCGGTCTACTTGATCTGTAATAATCGGTATCAGCATCGACCTTGAAAAACACATATCGGTCGACCCCTAGTTGTCACTCCTTCGTGGGATCCGTCGGCCACGCCATTCTCAACCCCGCCGCCTCTGCTCACTCTAGCCCTGCCTCAGCTCACGCTAAGTTCGCGGCTTCCGCCCGCGGCTTCCGCTCACACTAGGCCACCATGTTTTTCATTGTGAAAGCGAAACTACTTTGTTTGGTCTTCCAAAAGAAGACAAGACTAGAAATCAGTGGTTAAGTTGTATTTACAACACTGTTCCAGAACAGTTCAACCCAAATATTCAGATGTGTGCTGCACATTTTATGGAGGACTGTTTCCTGATCCTGGGAGAGTAGACTACAATGCCGGCAGTTCTGACTCACAGTCTGTAAGTATGTTTTCATTTAAAGGATTTGCCACTGATGATTCAAACGTGAGTTTTGAGCAGTGTAGAGTAGGGCTTGTTGTTTGTCATTTCTCTGATCACAAATGCAGACAGGGTTTTATGTTTATGCGGCGCGATGCAACACAGCGCGTAAAAAGGCAGTATAAGTCATTATAATCATATGACCCCTTTAAATATTCTCAGCAGTTATAATTTTGTCTCCTTCATATTTTTTTAATTGTATGAGCAAATCGAATTTTGACTGAAACAAATCAAATATAAATGTAAAATGTCTTAATGCATCGTAAAGAATTATAAACAAGTTAAATCACTGTCAGAGCAAATGTGTCTCACCAGTAGTGCTCTGCCATGAGACTCACAATTGATTCTAATAAAATGTTAGCAATGTTCACAGCATTTGAAAAAAATAGGTTGTTGTAAAGCAAATGAACCTATTTTCATTTGCTAAATGAAAATGATTCCCTAATAAACCTAAAAATACATAAGGCTCACAAATATTTGGTAAAATTGTCAATATTTAATTTAATTAAATTATTTTATTTTATTTATTATTTTTGGTATTTAATGAATTCAAATTCACAGAGATTTTCTCTCTTAAATCCATGATGATCAAAATGTATGAATGAAAGCAGTGCTGTGATTTCCTGTCTGGATTGCCTGCGAGTTCAAAACTCAACTTTGAGCATTGATGGTTTGTTTCTTTCCACATTCTTTTTACATCTGACTTCACTAAAGAGCTGTAAAATTAGATTTGGGAGGCTTAAACATACACTCCTTTCATCCAGTGTGAATCGGGGTGCCACTGTCTGTCAGAGAGAAACAGTTTGCTTATTCAGCAGAACTCAAAAGAGCACACTTACGCACTCAACATCACGCTGAGAGTGGGCACACATAGGAATGCTGAGTGGCAGAAACACACGAGCACAAATGCAGCACTCTTTTGCACACTTGCTATAAATCTAAGTCAGAACCATCTGTTTCATTATATACTGTAAATAAGTGTGCACACACACACACACACACACTCAGCTGATTATTCCAGCTATAAGCCACAAGATGAGGCCACACCTAGAGCAACATAATGACAGACTGTGTTTCTTTGCCCTTTTCCAACTTCAGAGACACTGTAAGGAGAGGACAAGAGCGTTTGAGTGAAAGAATGAGCAATTAGAGCTCAAATAAAGGAATGAGAGATGTAATTAACTTAATGAAAACTTCACTCACCCAGTCAGAAGTATGTCTGTGTCTGTGTATCAAATTCTGCTGTCCTTTTGGGGCTCTTCATTCTGCTATGCTGTTTATATTGCAGTATATCCACTAGACAGAACACTTACGATGGACTCGGATTCATCATGTGGCCTTCTATTTTACCACCTGTATTATCATGGAGGTTATCAGTACATTTTAAGGTACAAATCAGATTTTAGTTGTTAAAGTAGATTGGTAAATTAACATTTTATCGCCTCCCTTGACAGCCCATGTGTTGACAGAGCTCACATTCTTCTATCCTTCCCTCCTGTTCTCTTTCTCATGTGTCTACAACCATTTTATCCTTAAACCTACAGTATGTACACACACACACTCTTACAGAAAGAGGTGTTTTCATAGGGATGTGTGTGTGTGCGTGCTTTTCATCAGGGGTTAGTCTGATAATCCGTGCCATCTGTGCCATCTCGATGCCCATTGTGTGCTCTGAACAGAACAAACAGCCTCAACACAGACCACTGTTACAGCTCAGCACGACAGAGAGACAGTTCAGACAGAGACAGATCGGAGACGAGAGACGTTAGAGCGACGTTCTGACTGTTGTACTCTAGAAAAAAGATCAGGCATCAGAACAGTTTTTATTCGGGCTCCGTCCTGCAGCACATCATGCGGGCATGTTTTCTTGAGTTTCCGGGTCTGTGTTTTATCTGCTGTCTCTCTCTTTCTTGGCTGTACCTGACTTTGTTCATATTGGTGGGACACTCTTGCTTGCAGTATGTGTGTTTAATGTAATGTTGTTCAGTAGAACAATGTTACGTAATGAGCATTTACAAACATCATTTTGTTGTTTTGTTGGTCTTATCTGCACGAGCTGTAGACTTGACCTACAGGCCTAAAGTCATTAAATGATTATCCATCCCTTTGTGTTTTGATATTTCCCCATATAGCGGAGACTGGGGTGAGTCAACGGTGCGTTGTGATAGCACACATTGCTTAATAAGTTGTCCATTCATATTTTCCTTATGTTAAAGTAATATTCTGTTTAATATTAATATGCACTGGTGGTTGGCTGCCCATAATGGTTGCCTCCATCACATGAGTTGTTCTGTCATACACACAGAAGACACATCTAGGATATCTGCCATGTTCACTCCAGTTTTGAGGTGAAGAGCTTTTTCTGTTTTAACAGCACTTGAAATTAAATTGCTAACACGCACGTCTTTGGTTGGCCAAATATTTTTAGACTTTTGTGATTTGTCAGTATCCACACATCCTGACGTAAGGAAATTCATTAGATTAGGCATACGTAATATATCTGTGACTGCGTCATATTGGACGACACCAGCATGTCATTTTTGTTTTCATTGTTTCATTGGATATTAGAAATTTTGTTGTATCAAAAAGAAATATTTATTATTTATAAATATTTATTATTATTTATTTATCTTTCCTGCTTTACAGTATACTTTTATAAATTCATTGTTGTGTGGTCTTTGTGAAAAGAAGTGTGCTAATTGTATTGAATCCTAAAAGTAAAAAAAAAAAACTAATATTAATGAAATAAAAGGCTACTTAGATGTACTCGAAGAGAGTACACTTTTATGACTGTTTTTTAACACACTTAAGTACCGTTTTTAAAAGTGCACTTTATAATAATGCCAAATTTTATTTTATCAAATTTTTATTTTAAAGTGCATTTTAAATCAATGTTTTAATAAATATTTGTTGTGCTTTGAAGAAGTAAACTTATTTTGTGTAATTGTAGTGTTACATTTAGACTTTGTAATTACAATGTGTATTTAAATACACAATGTACAATTTTAAATAGATATGACATGAAAGTTTATTGTAGTATACCAGTGCATTCGGCGGTACACTTTAAAGTGTATTATTTCTGTAATAAGTACTCTTTTGAAAAATATGCTAAAGTGTACTTCTTTTTAACATGGCATAATATCATAACATAATAACATAATTTTCTGCAATAATAATGATCAGCATATCAGTATCGGCCAGACTTTCATCATCATTGCATCTGGTACAGATCAAATTTAGAGATCTCCAGTTGTTATTTCTGCTTTTGCTTAGATTGTTTTTTGAAACTTTGAACTTATTATTAGGGTTAATGGTTTGTAGGACTATATATCTAGGTCTTGTCTCAGTAAATTTGGTGGATGTATTTTGACTGTATGTATGCTGTAGTGTATTATGGGTGCCTCATTCTTGGCAAGCTTGTTTAATGCATGAAAACTACTGTGTGTGTGTGTGCATGTTTATGTGGTTTATGAGGACACAAATTTGTATAATAACATGGGTATGATATAGGTATTACAACGAGAAGGTGATTTATGAGGACATTTTCAGCGTCCCCGTAATTCAAAAGGCTTATAAATAATTCAGAATTAGTTTTTTTGAAAATCTAAAAATGCAGAAAGTTTCCTGTGAGGGGTAGGTTTAGGAGTAGAGTTGGTGTAGGGCAATAGAACATACGGTTTGTACAGTATAAAAACCATTATGCCTATGGAGAGTCCCCATAAACCATAAAAACAAACCTTGGTGTGTGTGTGTGTGTTTTGGACTGTCCTTTGCTATTAGCACTCATGCAGTCTCTCATAAGGGTGTGGGTATGGTTTCCATGGAAACACTAATGCATAGTGACAAGGTGGTAAAGTGGTACAGTTGTCATAATGTATACAAGGGAGTGAGTAGTAAGTTTAGTCACATACTCTCACAGTAAAGTCAACTCCTACAGAGTTTAATTGATGTTACTATATATTTGATATAAAAACATGGCCTGAAACATCAGCAAAACATTGATCACATTGATGAAACAATCTGGTGGTTATGCCCTCACACACATTTGTTAAATGTCATAATTTAAACAATGACATCACCTTTAGGCATGTGAAATACTAACTGCGCTTGGGCACTACCAATTATGGCTTTTAAAATGAGGTGTGTGTGTGTGTGTGTGTGTGTGTGTGTGTTCAGGAAGGCAACCTAACCTTGGGATCCCCTCCTTCACACACACTCACAGATGTTTTTGCTAATGTTCTCTTCATTGATATCGGTACTTGTGAATGCACCTCTCTGTGTTTAGTTATGGTACTACAACAACAAACATAGCATTGAGTGTAATGTAAAGGCATGCTAGTTGCATAATAAATGCTCTAACTTATTTTTGAAAGCATTAGTGTTAACTGAAGTCTTTCTCTCTCAGATCTGTCGAAGAATCGCTTGATTGACATCCCGTCAGAGATGTGTCATCTGGTCTCCCTTGAAACGCTGAACCTTTATCACAACTGCATCAAAAGCATTCCTGATACCATCATCAGCCTTCAATCCCTGACCTGCTTAAACATCAGGTGAGCATCACACTAAAGCCTGGAATACATTACAAGATTTTTGCCCTGATTTTCCACAGATTTACAGTCAGGAGAAGTTGACGTTAGTTGCAGAATGTCAGAGCCAGTCTGCAGATTTGAGTTAACAGATTCCATAGAACATCGCATAGTGTATGATGGTCACAGACTCCATCCAGTCGGAGGAGATAAAACATGTTTGATATTTTCAGCTGATTTTAGAACACATGTTGTTTTCATTTGTCATGTGTCTCCTAGCAACAAGGTGCACCTTTCTGCATGAGTTTGTTGGATTGTTAGTGTGTGATCCTCAGTCATTTAGTGTATGATGGTCAGATTTCCTTTGTCACTATTTACAAAGTCGGTAAGTGTATGATGCCTAGTGTTTTAAAAATCTGCTCCGATTTTAAAAGTCATGTAGTGTAGCTATTCCAGCCTTAACACATACACACACATTCACAAAGAGATGAATGACATTGTGTTATGTCTCTATTCTCTTATATTTATATTACGCATTAATATTGTGGGAAACCGTGAGAATGTGTGAGTGTGCTTAGAATAGCATTCTACTGCTAGCATACTACTAATATTTCTGCAGTGAGCAGTATGTATACTGTCAGTTTTCTGTATGTATGACCCAGGTGATGCTTTACTACATTTGCCATGCCATAATATGCAGTTCACAACCAGAGCACACTGTGTGCTACAATGCAGATGAATTTGAACTTTCGTTTCCGGTTTGATAAATGAACTGTGAATAAACCTCTGCAATGTTTACAATCTCCCTGATGACTCAGTATTTTAGTATACTGACAAAAATGAAGACATTTTTTACAAATTGGATTAAAAATGCAAAATAACCATATTTATTCCCAAGATGAAAATTGAACACCACACGCTCAATTAAGCGTACAACATAATAGAAAATAAAATTAATTAATTAAACATAAAGGTTGTGTGTCGCAAGTCATGTGGTATACTACAGTTCAAAACATTTCAGACAATATGTTTTTTAAGATATTAATTAAATTGATGAAAAGTAAAAAAATTACTTGTGTAATCCTACAAAAGATTTGTAGGCCAAATAAATGTTGTTCTCTTGACCTTTCTATTATTGAAGAATCCTGAAAAAAATGTCAAGCAGCACAACTGTTTTAAACATTGATAATAAGAAGAAATGTTTCTTGAGCAGCAAATGAGCATATTAGAGTGATTTCTGAAGGATCATGTGACATTGAAGCCTGGAGTAATGACTGCTAAAAATTTAACTTTGCCATCATAGAAATAGTTACATTTTAAAAAATATTCAATTAGATAACAGTTATTTTGAAGTTTAATACTATTTCAGAATATTACTGTTTTGATTGTATTTTTAAAGGGGTCCTATTATGCTTTTTCACTTTTTCAACTTTAGTTAGTCTGTAATGTTGCTGTTTGAGCATAAAAAAGATCTGCAAAGTTACAAAGCTCAAAGTCCAATTCAAAAGAAGATATTTTATTTAACAGAAATCACTTCTCAAAAACTACAACAAACGACTCGTTTCGACTACAATGCATATTTTCCTGGATTTGTGATATCACAAATACCGACGAATGGGACGAGACCTGGTTGAGCTGCACTAGAGAAGGCAATGAGTGTTATTACTATGTCGGAGACACGCTAGCTTTCCCAAGGCAGACAAACTTAGAGTGGTTGCAAACATCCGGGTTTAAATCGCGCTCAAATTCATTTGATTTTGACGCAATATTTACACTGAAGCAGCAGGCGGCTATGGTAAGGGGCGTGACATTTCCTGACCAGGCGCCGAGTGCTGCCAATCACAACACACACTGGCCCAGCTAACCAATAATTCGTATTTCAGAAGGCGGGCCTTCATTTGATACAGGAGCTATTCGAGCCCCAAAACAAAATCAAGACTTTGTAAAAGAGCATAATAGGACCCCTTTAATCAAATAAACACTGCTTTGATGAGCATAAGATACTTCTTTCAGAAACATTTAAAAAAATGTTACTGTCCATAAAGTTTTGAATTGTACTGTTATTATTATGCTAGTATTCTTTTCCAAACATAACATATAGGATTGCATGTTTGTGCATCAGCAGACCTAACCTAATGTGGTATTAAAATATTTTATTTGCATATGTGTTTTGAATGAGACTGTGTGAAAAACTGCATATTTTTTTTAAATGGACTAGTTCGTGGGTGGTTTGAATGACTAGCCTAGTTGATTAGTCAATCTTAAGGGAGCCCCATATGGGTCCACCAGACCCGAAAATGCGGTCTTTAGGTTCTTTCTAAAGATGTGTGGTTTAATATTTATGGTAATTAAAATACCTGAATGGTATTGTTATAATTAGGCTTTAGATACATATACAGCCCAAGAGTAAAATCAAAGTGCACAACACTAACATACAACACTGAAGTGAACCAAATAAACATGCTTTTCCCTCTGGTTGTCCTTCCTGCTTCTGTTAAATGTAAATACATCCGCGCACACACACATAGACTCTCCCTCTGTTTGGGGTTTCTCTCTCCAGCCAAATGTCTCCTGCAGAAGGCCTGATATTCACACTTCATTAGCGATGGAATTTGTTTTGTAAGAAGCTAATGAAGCACTAAGCTCTTAACGGTTGAGAAGAGTGAACATAAACTGGAGATGGAAAATCAAGCAGGAAAACCAAGTGAGATCATGAAAAATTGATGCAAGATCATCAGAATATGGAATTGCCAAAAGAAAGCAAAAAGAGACTTGCACACAGATTTATATGTTTTTCCTCTAGTTCTACATACACATGCACAGAGTTTAACAATTGTATATTTGTCTATTTGTCCTCTAGTCATAACAGGCAAAGTTTGTCTAGCTTTTACTTCTCATGAACTCATGAGCAGTTCCCTGAAGTCAGTCTTTTTCCTGTTTAATATCATACAGACAGAAATGATGAAGTGTTACAGGAAGGCTACGGCACACACATGACCAAAGAAAACAGATGATTTATTATTTATATTTGCATATCAGTCTTTTATGAGTTAATAATGCACATTCGCCTCTCTTCAGTGCCACAATTGAACTGTTGTGTTAAGTTCATTCTATGAATCAGAATGAAGCTTTCCAGATAAATGCTTCTGCTTGAGGAGTAGCATTAAGAAAGATGCTGTAACATGTTTTGTTTGAACGTTGTGGTGCTGTAGCCGGAACCAGCTGTCAGTGCTGCCAGCGTGTGTGTGTGGTCTTCCTCTGCAAGTGCTCAACGCCAGCAATAACAAACTCAACGCACTTCCAGAAAGCATTGGCCAGCTCACCAATCTCATGGAACTGGTAAGTGTGAGCATGAGTGCTGTACCTCTGATGTCTGCATATGAATGAGATGTTTGTGATACTTGCTCTGTGTTTTATGACTATATATATATTACCATGCTGACTCACCCTTTCTCGATTTGGCTCATATCTGCTTATATTGAATGTACCGCATTTCTCTCTTTCCATTTTTTTTTCTGGTAGTTCTTCTCCCTGTCTTTTTTTCTCCTGCTCTGTTTTGTAACCAAAAATGAACCCACAGACCAGGTTTTGTAGGTTTATGCCAGGTGGGATCTTGTATAATATAGTACAACAAGCACTTAGTTCGAGTGAGTGTAATGAAAGGTTTGTGGAGAAGCTTGTGTTTGAGAAGAAGGTAAACATGTAACTCTAAACTCTTTTTCCAATCAGGATGTAAGCTGTAATGAAATCACAGCTCTTCCACGCCACATTGGCCAACTCAAAGCTCTGAGGGAGCTCAATGTGCACCGAAACCTTCTCTGTGTCCTGCCAGAGGGTGAGTCTGCAATCAGTGTGTGTGTGTGTGTGTGTGTGTGTGTGTGTGTGTGGAGAAGCTTGTGTTTGAGAAGAAGGTAAACATGTAACTCTAAACTCTTTTTCCAATCAGGATGTAAGCTGTAATGAAATCACAGCTCTTCCACGCCACATTGGCCAACTCAAAGCTCTGAGGGAGCTCAATGTGCACCGAAACCTTCTCTGTGTCCTGCCAGAGGGTGAGTCTGCAATCAGTGTGTGTGTGTGTGTGTGTGTGTGTGTGTGTGTGTGTGTGTGTGTGTGTGTGTGTTTGTATCCTTTCTACACCCCTACACCCTTCTTATCTCTGCAGAATGATTTCAACTTCTCTGACAACTTCACCTCGATAACTACTCATCACATTACCAATAAAAACTTCCCCCGGTAGCTCCAGAGCTACAGTAAATCTATCCTTTGTTTGACCTCTACTCCACCAAACTTCTTATTCATCAGGCCCTCTCTGTCATGAATTAAGTGAGGATAGTTCACCCAGAATGAAAATTCTGTCATCATTTACTCTCCCTCATGTCATTTTAAACCCATAAGATTTTCATCCATCTTTGAAACACAAATGAAGACACTATTAATGAAACCTGTCAACTAGTGCTGGGCAGTATGACCAAAAATGTATATCAGGGTATTTTTCAAAATTATACTGGTTTCACGGTACATGACGGTATTTTTTTTTCCATGCATGACCGGGTGTTAGCCATATTTTCTACTGATTGAGAGAGGAAATACCGCAGTATATTGACTTAGAATGCCCTATTTTACTGTCATGATGAGTGAATATTGTCAAAAAATACCACACTAAATAGAGACTAAACAAGACCCCTTTTAATACATGTTAACCAGGAGTCACTCTCATTTATAATCGTGACATCGTCTGATAAAATCAACATGCATCTACACTAAAGAGCAGCTATGCGGTTGTTTTGGCTATATTACTTTTTTGTCTCATGCAGCGCACTGCCTGCGTCTGAGTAAACTAAAAAAAATAGCAAACAAAAAAGTGCATGTGATATTAACAGATGAGCTACGCTCATATTTATAATTCCAAACAATCAGTAAGCGACAGGTGCTAGGAAACGCTGTTTTGTACTCATTTATTGACAAGTTGTCTGCGGTGCGGCCAACTGAATGCGCTGCTTCTCTGCCGCTCACTGCACAGAACAGACGCCGAGAGAGGTGACACTTCTCCAGGAAAGTCAGATCTCGCGTTCGCGGGACAGCACTGGTGAAATCTTCCAACTGAACCATAGTTAAGGTTTATCCAAAAAAGTCGCTAGGTTTGTCAGTATGAATATTCTATGGAAAAAAGCAGCTAAAAGGGTCTGAAAGTTGCTAAATCTAGTGCTGAAGTCACGCGTTTGTGTGTGTGTGAGACGCAGGAGTTGATGGCAGGGGGCGGTGGATATTTGTGGTGGTCAATGTGGATATTGTGGATGAGTTCTTCTGTGTCATCACGTTCTATTAGTTCTACAGCTTCAGTTTCGGAACTTTCACGCTTAGTAACACATACAGCTGTTCCCTCAACACAGTGCAACAGTGAAAAGGGACCGCTTTCAAACAGTGTTGCGTTCCGAACGTTGCTTAAGCGACATACACCGATATTTAAAAAATTCATATCATAACAAAAATAAACACCGGTATTCTGTATGAACGGTATACGGTATATGCAGTTCAGTTTTTGGAGATAGTTGTTATGATTGAGCACAATCAAAATTCAAGAAACTGAACATCTAATCCTTTTGCTAAAAGCAGTATCAAACTCTATTGCTCAGTCAGGCCACTACATCCTTCCTTCATCCGTGTCATTCAGTGAGCAATCATTTTGGAACAACATTCACTACATATTGTAACAAAGCCAAATAAAACCCTCAGCCTCATGTTGTACTTATATAAACATATAAACTAACATTAACACAACACTCTTGTAAGTTGTTCTGAGTAAAATCTCACTGCCAAGAACAGTAAGTGTGAGTGTGTTCCTTTAAATAACAGTGAGAAAGCCTTTAGTGTTGTTAGTGCTAAAATGATTGTGTGAGCCAAGCATTGTCTGAAACGTGACTGGAGTTATATCACCCAGCTTACCTTGGCCAAAAAAATGTCTGTAACTGAGATTTTGCAGCTCAGCTAAATATTCAGCTACATAATGCTGGCAGGTTATAAAAAATAGGATTTGTAATGGTCTCTCCAAGCACACTGTGCCAAAATGACCTCATGGAGCTGAAGCATTAATATAGATTGCCTGAGAGATCTGCTGATAATTTAGTTTTTTAACTTTGATTCATTGCTGTCTTTTAGTTACCAGGACCAGTAAATAAAATATATAAATGACTGTTGAAATCTAACAAGTACCCTTTTTGAAATAAGAAATGTATTATTATTATTTTTGTAGCTGATCCATTTTTTTCTTGATTTAAGATGATATAAACTGATGTAAGCTTTTTAGTATCGACCTTCCAAATGCTGAATGTCTCGTATTAGCTTTTCAAGAGCTGTTGTGTGCATGATTTATTTTTTCCCTGTTGTTTTTTTACATTTTGGCAGTCCCCTCTGCCCCCTTGTTGCAAAATATATTCACTTTTAATGTGGCTTAATAATTCTCTGCATGTGTGTTTTAGATTTGGCGGATTTACCCCTGGTCAAGTTTGATTTCTCCTGTAATAAGGTTTCTACTATTCCTGTCTGCTATCGAAAAATGACCCAGCTCCAATCACTACAGCTGGAGAACAATCCACTTCAGAGTCCTCCTGCACAGGTAACGCACACACAAACACTCACGCAATTTATTCTTCAATTCTCTCACAATTGTTTCTGACATTATTCTCGCTGCTTTCAGATCTGCATGAAGGGCAAGATTCATATATTTAAATACCTCGCAATGGAGGCATGTCATAGTGACAAGATGACCGATGCCCTGTACCTTCCTGTAACAGACCGCCTGAGCTTGACACGACCCACGAATGGGAGGTCAGTCCTCATGATTATAAAAGAGTATCAAGTAGATTTAATTAAATAGAATTCATGAAATTGTGAAATGGTGAATTGAAATTGCTAAAAGGTGTAAATATATATATATATATATAAAAAATAGTTTATATTTATAGTTTATAAATTCAAAAGAGATTTGAATCCACTGTCAAAACCAACGTCCTTTTATTCTTTTAGTCTTTATATTTAAGCAGCAGCCATACAGTATGCTACAAAACCGGAAATCGAGGGGTTATGACTTCATTGGCAGGCGACACAATGACACTATGGACACGGTTTGTGTCACTAGTTAAAATTGCTTATTTCCCTGGATTTTCCCTGGACATTCTTTGAATACTATGTGATAATGTAAGTACACAAGTCAGCAAAATATATAACACTGTTCTAGTGGTTTTTTATATTTTAATAAAAAAATCTTACATATTGTGCCTTTAAATCTTTATATAATATGAATATTTGTCAAAGTAATCAACATATAATTTTTTAAACCAAGTCGTGCACCTCTAAATGGGTGTATAAAAAGATCTGAATGTAGAATACAGTGTGGAATCTCAAAAAAAATCCAGGTCATGCGTGTATGTGTGTTGGCTGTCATTATCATCCTTATCTCAGGAGAATCCTTTTAATAGACTGCAGGGGGTCACTCTTCAGAGGGAGAGAGAGAGAGACTGAAAGATTTCTTTCCCTTTCTCATATGAGAGGCATAGGCTGCTTCTCTCTTTCTTTCTGTCCTGCACAACCCTTATTCATTTCTAATCCCCCTCTTATTCCTGTCTCAGCACTGAGGACATCGATCAGCACAAGAAACTTGACAGTGACTCTGGGGTGGGCAGTGACAACGGAGACAAACGCCTTTCTGCTACAGAGGTCAGTCTGTATGTGTGTGGCTGTAAGTGTCTGTTTGAGTATAACAAAGGAGCCTGACCATCTTGTCTATGTCCTTTGGATATTTGCATGTCTAATTTAATGTATTTTTAATCTGCTATGTGTTTTCATCAGTGTTGCAAATTTATAGTAATGGCACTATTAAAGACACATGTTATTGTGTTAGTTTGCTTATGGCTGGGCTGCAATAAAACTCTAGCAGAATTGAGATCATTTACTTTGGGGACAAAGGTCTGATAGCTGCATGCTATCTGGCAGTTATCATGTACTGTGACATACAGTGTTACTGCTACATCAGATGTGGTTGTATACACTGTCTTAACATCGGAACAGGACAGTATGTCAGTGATTTGGTTTCTCTGTAGTGTTATGCTGGGTAGCCCCGCCCATAGTGAATTTGTATTGGTCCAAAATCCCACTCAAAATAGCTGTATGTTAAACATCAAATATGCTCTGATTGGCTGTTATTGCTCTGTTTTGCTGAGCACATTGACTTTCTGTGTGAACAGATACATTTCTTGACACTGGAAATTTATTTATTTTAGTGTTGTGCTTAGTTAAGACACAACTATACTTATGATAGTAGTAGTAATAATAGTGATAATTTTTATATTATTTATATAATAAAAAATACTTATAAAATAAAGCCTAAGGGTTGCTTCTCAAGGTGTTTTACAGAGTAAATATAATAATAATAATAATAATAATAATAATAATAACATAACATCAATATGCATCAAATATAAATCATTACTTTTAAACTGTAATTAATGCATGCTATATGTGAAATTAAATGTCAAATTAAGACTCATAAAAAATATTTGGTAGACAATATCATAAAAAGTCTTCTTTTTCAAAAAGAATCTCTCGAGTCAGGAAGTTCCCGATGCCAAAATCAGACTACAAAGACGAGAAGCTTGCAGGACATCTAACAATCACACTTGCAACAATGATCTCATCATTACGTTTTACTCATCTTTTCTTTTTGGAATTTTTCCAGTGTTCCCGCCATAGTTACTTCATTACTCTGCTAACTTTAATCTAATTGTGGCATTATACGAGCTGGATAATTTAAAAAAATGGTGAATCATGCTTCCAACTATAATTCCCTCATACAATTAGAGATACTAATTGAGACTAGTGCATGTCTAATCTATGCTGCTTGAAACTGATACCGTATAGAATTCTTATAAAAATATACCATCACAATTCCAGCACAATTAATTTAATTATATAACCTATACATTTTTAAACAGTGTATAGTGTATTTTTTTAGTGCTTGTTTAGGTGGTGTTTTAGAGTTTTTGTGTTCCAGCCATCAGATGAAGACAGTCTCAGCTTGAATGTGCCCATGACCAACATCACAGAGGAGGAGGGCTTGAGCAAAGACGACTCCAGTGAACACATCAGCGCTCTGACAGGTGCTGCTCACACGCGCAAACACACCCTCACATGTGTGGACAGGATATTAAAGGCCTGTGAAGAAAAACATCCTCTTACTAGGCTGACACAACATTACAGTGATACTGTAGACAGTATGTTTGAGGCTCAGGTTAAGCCCAGAAGAGGGTCCCGGACAGGAAGTGTGGATACTGGCTGGGAAATCAGTGTCAGCACATAAGGAGAATTAAGGGAGGAGGAGATGAGAACCGAGAACATTGCAGGAAGAAAGGAAAAGTGTGTGTGTGTTCTGCACTTTAGAGTGTGTGACTGCTAAGCTGATGGGAGGGTCTTTTAGTCTTTAAGCTTTCCATAAGATTTACTGGACATGTCCACTTTGTGTCTGCATGGGTGAATAAATGTGTACATGCTTGCAAAGAACACTACAGCATTTTAAATTCTTTAGGTCTCTGTTTTCAGTTAGAGGAATGTTCCAGGGTTCAAATTAAGTTTTATCTAGAGCAATTATGGCATAATGTCAGTTTTGTTTTGTTTGTTTTTTTAAAGCAAAAATGCATTACAGTAAGTCATTTACATTACATTAGTAGATAGTTGTAAGCTGCTTTGATTTACATTTAGTGTCAGTGAAAACACTTTATCATAGTCGGTATAATAATTTAGCCATGTTTATGTGTGTGGTTGTATCCGGTAGCAGACAGAAGTTCATCAGAATCTCTCAAGGAGTATCTGGGCTATCGAGACTCTACGCTCAGCTCACCATTCATCAACTATATCAAAGTGAGTGTTAGAGACTGTTTTTTTTCATGGTCTGTCAGAAGTGTGTTTGTATTGAAAGCTGGAATTTAAGGATCAGGAGGTTTCACTGCCCAGGCTAGTTTAGATCAGTTTCAAGCACATTTTCCAGTCTTGCTTTCTTCCTCTCTTTCATTACACTGTTATCCTTTTGCCACTTTAAATGTTGCTGTGCTGAAGCCAGATTAAGTTGTTGTTGTTTTGAAAACTAAACTTGGTGAGCACATTATCCTTCCCTGAACTCTGACTTTAGCAGTTTCTGGTTTAAGACTTAAGATTTTTGGGGCCAACTCAACTCCACATTTTCTGCTTCAATTGTGAGAAACAGTTCCAGATTGGCACCAGCACTGGCACCGGGGTCCCCCATTGTTCACAACAATATTCAACCATGACTTTTCCAGTTGTTTGTGACTTAATGGATAAGGAATAATATAAAAAAATATATACAATATTTTAGAGCTTGGCATAACTAGAAATATGTGTATTTGTAAATCGTATGAAAATGCACATGGAGTTTTATTAATATTTTAATCAATTTTTCTTCTCCAGGAAGTCACATAAAATTAAGCTGCCTCATATATCCAGGTTTTTCAAGACTGTGGGAATCTTGGTTCTTCAGAGACAAAACATAGTTTTTGAATTTCCGGGGATTAGCTTAGTTTAATTCTTATATTATCTTATTTTAAATAATTTAAGTCATTTTGAGGCCACTGCTTGCAAACCACTGCTCTAACTGGAAAAAAGGCATGTGTAACTTAACATTCATTAAGGGGGTTTCTTGTTCTGAAAGACTGATGAGAAATCATCCCATTTTACAGAATATTGTGGGCAGATCTGGCTTGAAACTGTTTATTTAGTTGTGTCTTTGTACTGTAATGTTGACAGTTTCCCATTATAATTGTAATGTTCTAGTTTGAGCTCCAGCTGGAGTATTTTAAATATCTTTTTTGTTCAATACAATACTGATCTTTTGGTCCTCTCTTTCCTGTCTTTAACTACCCTATTTCCCTTCGTTCCAGTCTTTTCTTGTCATATTTTTCATCTGTCTCTCTTGGCATAGCGCTTTATGTTCCAGTAACTGTTAGTTTATCTGAAAACATCTCATTGCATCATTGGATTGGCGCAGACAGTGTTTATTTGTGCATTAGCAGTTCCCTTGTGAAGTAATCCATGTCTAGAGGGACATTGTGCGTATAAGGGTGTGTGTGTGTGTATTCCCATCTGCGTGTGCGTCACCCTCTCAAACAGGCGGTGGTGTATCTGATTTTGAATTCTAGCCAATTAGGCCTTTAGGCTGTAGTCACTTGACAGAGTTTGCAGCTGGAGTTGATGTGTGTGGGTGTGTGTGTGTGTGTGTGTGTGTTTGAAGGGTCGAGGTGCTGACTTCGATGAGCCCCTCAGGATAGAGGAAGACACCAACTGGGCTTCAGAACAAACGTATGTTTATATCGGGATATTTATCATCAAGTACTTTTCTTTCTGTCTCTCTGTTTCTGTCTTTTCTCACTGACTCTTGCATTCTCTGAATCTGGTCACTAGTTAAACCATATATATTCATATATACCATGCTACTGGGTCCAACAGATCAAAGGTCAATATGATTAATCAGCTAAAGGAAGCTGTGGAGATGCTACAGGATCCTAACAGGTAGGTCAACAGGTGATGGCTGGATTGTTACTCATTTTCCTTTATTTTTGTCCTCCTTTTACAACTTGCAAAGTCACTGTTAATATCAGATGCATTTCTTTGAGTTGGTTATTCAGCATTGCTAGCAATCCGTAACATATGGCCTACCACAACATAGAGATAAAAAAATATAATTTGAATTTGCTGTTTAACCCAAGCCTGTGTTAATGGTGTGTCATCGCAAAATCTAAACTGTACTATCGTCCAGACCTACTAAATGTGATATTAAACATTAACATAAGGGTTTTCTGTAAAGCTGCTTTGAAACAATGTGTGTTGTGAAAAATGCTATACAAATTAAACTGATTTGACTTGTTTATGTTTGTATATAGGGTTAACATGAACTCTGCTGATCTCTCTAGTATTAAGCTCTACCCTGTGGAAATGGTTACAGTAGATGAGTCGCTCAAGTAAGTTACAACTTCACATCTTAAATGTTTTACAGTACATACAAAATAGGAGTACTAGTAGTAATACATTCAAATGCTGCTTTGCATGTTAAGGTTTTCACCAACACCCCATTCTTGTTTTTGTCTTCCTGTAGTGGCCAAGAGAGTGACGAGTGTCAGGCAACACCTAAGGTAAACCGCTGGTTCATGTGTCTAAGTTAACATCAGACACATAAGAGGACCTTACTGGTTCCTCTAAGCATCCTGTTCATTTCCTTCTTTATAGTGTCGCTGTAGACTGCTGTGTTTCTCTAGAGTTCCTCTGAGATCAGTGGGCTATTGTTGAAGGGTAGACCAGTTTCTCAGTTTCCCAGGAGGATTGTCTTTCTCACGCCTTTTAGACTGTTTATGTGATGTCAGTTATGTGACGTCATATTTTACATAAGGTTTATAATTTCAAAAGGTGCTAGTTTTTCATTCATTTAAGAGCAGCTGCAAAAATCCACTCCCTTCACCTAAACTGCTCAAAATTACTGTTTGGTTTGAAGTACTTACACTACAAAAGTTTAGGGTTGATAAGATGTTGTAATTGTTTTTAAAAGAAGCATTAAAAATCACCAAGGCTGCATTTATTTGATAAAAAATACAGTAAAAATAGTAATATTGTGAAATATTATTACAATTTAAAATCACTGTTTTTATTGTAATATACTGTATTTAAAGTCAGTGTTAAGCAATATTAAATGTGTTAATATTAAATGTGAAAAAAAATGAGTTTGTCACACCACAGAAAAATGTGTTATTAACCACCCAGGCAACTTTGAATGATAAAAAACGGCAAGTACTATAAATAAAGTAAGTTCTCAAACACTGGGGGTGTGCCTGCTGTCAGCACTGAAACCACACCCACTTGCGGGAAAGCTGCCGTCTCTCTCAACTAGATGACTGAGCTGTTTTGTAAATTATTGCAACCAATATGCATTTACGTGGCGAAGGCATAGCGGTAACACTTTACTTGAAGGGGTGTGCATAAGACTGACATGGCACCTTCATAATCATGACATGACACATGTCATGAATATGAAGGAGGTTTTATGCATGTTTATGACAACTGTCATTAAGTGTCATTCGCTCAGTTATGTAATTTTTAATGCAAATATGACATTATTTGACCTAACCCTACCCCTAACCATAGCCCATAACAAAGACATCTCAAACAATGTCATCTTTGCATAAAAAATTACATAACTGAGCGAATGACACTTAATGACAGTTGTCATAAACATGCATAAAAAAAACTTCATATTCATGTTATGTGTCATGTCATGATTATGAAGGTGTCATGTCAGTCTTATGCACACCCCTTCAAGTAAAGTGTAACCGGCATAGCTAGCTAGCAAACTGTAGGCTGTAGTAACTAACGGTAATGACAGTAAAGCCTGGAATACACTACAGGCTGGAGAAGTTGACGCTAGTTACAGAAAGTCAGAGCCAGTCTGCAGATTTGAGTTGACAGATTTAATAGAAAATTGCGTAGTGTATGATGGTCACAGACTCTGATTTTTTAGCTTCAGACTTTGATTCCATCCAGTCGGAGGAGATCAAACATGTTTGATATTTTCAGGTGATTTTAGAACACGTTGTTTTCATTTGTCATGCATCTCCTAGCAACAAGGCGCACGTTTCTGCATGTATTTGTTGCGATCGGAACTATTTTAAAGTCTGGTAATATGTGAGCCTCAGTCGTTTAGTGTACAGTATGATGCCCAGTTTTTCCTTTGTGAGTATTACAAAGTTGATAAATGTATTATGCCTGTAGCGTTTTAAGTCAAGTCAAGTCACCTTTATTTATATAGTGCTTTTAACAATACAGATTGTGTCAAAGCCACTGAACAGCATTAATTAGGAAAATAGTGTCAATAATGCAAAGTGACAATAGTAAACACTAATTTTTCAGTTAAAGACAGTTCATCATTGAATTCAGTGATGTCAACATCCAGCTCAGTTTAAATAGTATCTTTGCAATCATGTCAACGATATCGCCGGAAATGAAGTCTCTTCAGATTTTAAAAGTTGTGTAGTGTATTCCAGCCTTAACTCGCGATTGAGCAGGCAAACCACTGATGCTAATGCGCTCTAGTTATTATAGTGTTAGGGAAGGGGTGTTAATGCTCAGTTGCTCCAGTGCGTCATCGAGGCCCGCCCAAAAGATCCTGAACAAAAAATGGTGAAAAACGGTCTAACGCCACAATTCAGTACTACGTAGTTCACAGTCTTTGTAACGTATTTTCAGCAACACATTTATAACATTTATAATCTGTTTAGAAACAATTCTCTAAATTGCCTTTACACGGATTTTAATTATTTCGCTGATGGCAAAGCAGAATTTTCATTTTACAAAATTTTACATTAGTCTTCAGTGTCACATGATCCTTCAGAAATGATTCTAATATGCTGATTTGGTGCTCAAAAAACATTTCTTATTATCAATGTTGAAAACAGTTGTGCTGCTTAATATTTTTGTAAATATCATGATACAATTTTCTTCAGGATTCTTTTATGAATAAAGACAGCATTCATTTGAAATAGAAATCTTTGTAACATTATAAATGTCTTCTAAAATGCATCCTTGCTGAATCAAAGTATTGATTTCTTTAAAAAAAAACATATCCTACGGACCCCAAACTTTTGATTGGTAGTGTATGTTATGCATTCGGTGTGCAGTGGTCTGTTGTTGTAGTTTTTTGTGTTGTCGTTTGTGTATGTACTATTAGATGTCTTTGCTGTGTTGTGATGTGATTATTTGGATGATAAGAAAACATTTCCTTTTATTAAAGTTGTTAAAACTGTAATTGACCTTAACCACATTGCAGTGCAGTAGTTCTGGTTAGCCTTGCAGCTTGTGTGTTATAGGTACATCTAGTTAAACACCAGGGCTGTTTTTACCAGCGTGATGTGTGCTGTGGTTAGTGTCGTAGTGTGATGGTCTTAAGAGCAGTGATTATCATTGAAGGCGGCTCCTGGAGAATGCTGGGAGTTCCAGAGGAAGCGACAGTACATTCTAGAACGGGCCCGGCTCGAGGCCCAGCTCGCATGTCAACAGTATGCCCTGCACATGGCACAACAGGTAATCTGACAAACTAGTCCTACCATCCAGCCTATAGATGCATCCTGTTTGACCGGTGAACACTTGAGCAACTTGTACAAGTCAAGTGGGGACATTGTTATAAAAAATTCAGCTGGTCTCTCAGAAATGATTCATCATTCAGTGCAAATGCACTTTGTACAGAATTACCCAAACAAGTGGTTCAGATGTAGCTGCCACATATGCGCTTTTTGTTTGTGCTGTGGTGACCTCATTCTTGTTGTAGTTGTGCTATTGTAAACGTCCAGCTCATTCCCAGCAGAACCACGTGGAATCTGTGTGTGCAGAACTCTTAAAGAAATCTCCGCAAAATTCCACGGAATTGGAAAGACTGCCATTTACAAGTTCTACATATCCTCTGCCGCACCTGCATTTCTGTTCATTAAAATCAATTTGAATTCTCATGCTCACAACTCATTTTACTTTTGTGATTTGATGCATTTCTAAGTGAAACAATATTCAGCAAGAAAAACATGGACTGGGGTTGATTTTATCCATCTGGAAGTGACTGTATTATAAAAAGAGGGTGTTCCATATAAGAATGCAAGATACAAGTTTACTAAAACATTGCTGAAATCATTTTTTGACAATTGGTTAGCATTATAGTTTATAGTTGAAGAGAGAGTTCAGCAAAAAATATAATTTTCTCGCCCCTCATGGCATTCCAAAACTGTATGGCTTTCTTTCTTCTGTGGGACATAAAAGAAAATATTTTGAAAATTGTATTTGGCTGGCAACATTTTTTTTTTTTTAAATATCTTCTTTTATGTTCTGCAGAAGAAAGCAAATCATACATTTTTGAAACCAGATGAAAGTGAGTGAATGATGACTGAATGTAAATTATCCCTTTAATGTTGTTTTAAGGGAAATGTTATTACAAAGTGTGATTACAAAGACAAAAATATTATTTATTTGGAATAATGGGCACTGGTGAATCGTTCACAATAACAATAGAATTTGATTGTGCTGTCATCTACCACAAAGAGTGAAGTACTGTGTTTAGCATTTTACCAATCCATTTAAATTCATTCTGCATAATTCTGCAGATTTTCTCCCGGTTTGTAGATTGCATCTGGGCCATTTTTCACATTAGTATACAGTATTTTAAATGCGTGTGGTGCTGGATATATATGTGTGTTTATTAACATTGCAGTCCATGTACATTTAGTCCATGATGTAGCCTGCATGACTTCATAAATCACCATTTTAGATTGAATAGAAATTATATATTTAAAGTAAATGTACTCACATGGGGATTGAGAATCATGTAATTTTCTTTCTAATCTAATGAAAGGGGAAAAACAAACAAACAGAGACTCGAAAGAAAGACAGAGTCATATCGAAGCAGAGAACAGTGATGCATTGTTTGACTGTCTAAAGAGCTGGTCTGTTAATGTCTTACATCATCTCAAGAATCCCACAGCCTGTTTTTTTCTCACTCTTAGGGTGACGTAATTGGCCAGGAAGGATCAGGTGATAGTTGTGAGAACCAAGTTACCAAGGTAAATCTTTTTACTGACTCAAAGTTTAATGTTACTGTGACTTTACACCACGGTAACATTATGCACTTTACGCTTATAAATCGGAATTTTACTTTTAAAAATGGTTGCGTGCACTTACGCTGAATGTGTTTGTCATGTACCAGAGTGAAGACAAAACCCCAGTTTCCAGCCCTACATTGAGCTCACCTCCCTTTGGTCTGAAGCCCAGATCAGGTGAGAACAGTGTTGTTTTACTAACACACATGGTGACAATGTGCTGGTTGGCATTTTGATGGTGAGGTTGGCATGGGGTGGTGTTGCACTTTAGAGAATGGTGCACATTTTGGGCTCTCTCATCATCAGATTTCAGTAGTAAGAGGGAGGAAGTGTTTGTATGTAAAGATCCTTTTGCCTGTGGCCAACACCTGTTATCCTGTCAAGCTCATAACAGCCGTACAATCAAAGTCAGGCTTTTTATCCATTCATATTGCTGTTTAACATGACTCCCTTGGCTTCAGTGGCTAAACTGAATCTAGAGAGGTTTAGAAAAAGTACATGGTAACTGAATATGACCTGTATTTTCGTTTCATTTACATAGAGATTTTATATTTTCACAAATACCATTCATTATTAATGTATACAGTTCAATAAATACACAAAACCGCTTGCTTCATCTGGATGCAGTTTAATTGATGTAGCTGTTTGTTTAGCTGCCTAGAGGCTTCTTGTTGCTTCCCCCTATAACATCTAAGCTAGCATTTGTATTATTATCTGTGATCTGTTATTTATGTCTAACAATAACAGCATTATCATGCCCTGAGTCTGACAGTTAACATAAAGAATAGTCAATTGTACTAGGTGCATTAACAGCATGCCAACAAACTGATACTGAAATGCTGCTTAACATTGAATGTGTTTTTGTTTTTAATATTTTCTCTTTTGTTTTGTGATGTATTTATTTGTCATTTTGCTTTGCATATCTTCCTGTTTCCTTCTCTTCCCTTTTATTTATCTGTTTCCCTGAACTGCTGCTTGCTTGCTTGCCTGCTTGCTTGTCTGCTTTTATTACACACACTGCTGTTGCTTGGCACCCTCCCCCTCCTATTTTCTGATACCTGAAACTCCTGCCTGTTTCCTGGGTTTTCCGATGAAAATCATTTGTAATTTTATGTTGATACCTACATCTAGCTTCACCCTCTTTGCCGTGCTCGACTCTGTCGTGTCCCCTCCCCCTTACACAGGCCCCGCCCACAGATAGAGACACGCCCCCTAGCCCAGCTGAAGGAGACATGCCAAGCAGTGGTAGGTCTGCTCAATGTATCGTCCTGTGCAGTCACATGCCTTGCAATTAGTGTTTTCTTGTCTCAGGTATTTTTTATTATTTTTTTTTTCTAGTGGTGGTTGCTAAGGTTCACTATCATAGAGATCTAAATAAAGATTTAATTCTTAATATTAAATATTAAAATATAACTCATGTTCCACCATTTTTGCTACCGGAACAAGAATAACAGACTTTTTGGGTTTGGACTCTTTTGACTTGGGCCGGTAAGCAACCATCCAGAACACCCTAGCAACCACTAGCAATGACTAATAACATCCAGAAAACCCTAGCAACTGCTTTGTAACTCCTTGCTGCATAGCAAAACGTTGGCAACCACCCACAGTACCCAGCATGATGGCAGGAGATTATAGTGTAGACAGTTTTTTTGTGTCTGAATGTAAAAAAAAAAAAAAATGTTTCTGAGGTACAGCGTTAAAGGGTCTTTTTAAACACAGGAGTAAGAGAGAGGGGATGTGGTTGAGCTGAAATTTGGGGTGGCCCAGTGGCTTTAAATGGAGCTGTGTGTATTTATAGAGCTGCTATTTTGAAGCATTAGATAATGGCCCCAGAGGGAAAATCAGACCTCCATTTAAGTGGAAATGCCACCTAACTGCCAGGAGACATCTGTACTTACTCATCGTCTTATGAGAAAGAAAAAAGAAGAGGGAATGATGGAAAGAGAGAAAAGTTTACTGATGAATAGCTCTGTACTAATGGTAGTATTGAACTTTATATTAAAACTTTATTGAACTCAGATGGAATCTGGCACCATAAATCTGTGAAATGTTTTAAAAATAAAATGTCTACACTGTACTACACTATTATTGGTAGTTAAAATCATAATCAGATTAGACAAACATGCACTTTGTGAATGACCGGGTGTTCAGAATCTACAGAGGTTTATGCCCTTTTTTTCAATAACTTTCTGGAATACTTACTGTGTCTTGCACACAGTATAACAGTAAACATATGAATGAGTCTCATTTTTGCCAATACTGAGTTGGATTAGAATGTGTGCTGCTCTTAGAGCTGAGATGTTGAGACAGAAAGAAAATGTGAGAGAAAGACACTTAGCTTTAATGCTAAATTGTTTAATTTGTGTCACTAGCTTCAAAAAAATGACAGCTTTCCCCAAAAACAACCCTGGTTTGCCATTGGTGAACAAACAGATAACCCCGCCCCTAAACTCAAACCATTGATTGAGCCAGTGTTGCTAAGCTAGGCTGGCAGAAATAGAAGGTATGTGAACATAAAAATGGCACACTTTTAAGTAATCAAATGGATCCTAAAACACAGACTTGCCGCGAAAGCATGAGTGGTGACTTTTTTCAGAGACATTTTTTCTTCCTGATGCACACGGACACATTTAGCTATCTAAGCTATGTAAGTTAGTTAATTAGACTTCTGTTGGTTTTACTTATTGTTTTTACATCCCCAAAAGGAGGTTTTGTCAGATTTACCTCACTTTTGGGTACAAATTTGTCACAAAAATATGTTGAAGTAGGTACATTGACACACACACACACACACACTTTTTTTTTCTAATGCTGCCCAGAGATGTCAGTCTAACATGTGCTTGCTCTGTTACATCAGTGTCCAAGCACAGGAACACTGCTCCAGGGCTTAAAACTGTGAGACAACAAAAAGAGGGAGGAATGTTCTGGAATAACATCCTTTTAATGTTCCCTACATACGGTCCTCTTTCTTTCATTTCTTCACAGGATGAGTAGTTATGCAACTACAGAAACACACTCAGATGTGTGGAATGAAGTATTGTGCTCCTGTCTTTCTCAATCTCCCTCTTTCTCTCATGTCTAGTGCTCCCCCTTGTGGGGAAATATCATATAATAAAGGCTGTCAGCTGTCAAATATGGACAGTGTCTCATTCCCTTCAGAATTCAGGATGTTCATTGTGATGTAAATAGACAATAAAGGCAGCTTGTCATTTAAAATGTAACATAATGGCAACAGTAGTGACATTTGATTACTGTGTTATCCTCTTCATGTCAAAATTGACACTAACCTAAAGTTTCAAATTTTGGGATATCACGATGGATGTGACGTTAAAAGAAAGTAAATAAATGAGAGTGAGTGTTTATGCATGTGAGAGTAATGCAGGAGATATAATGTGCTCTGTGCAGACTGGTGACGCTTCAGTTGTGTGACAGTGTATTTCAGGACGCACAAGACTCTGGAATCAGTAGATCCTCAGTTCACCATGAGGAGAAAGATGGAGCAGCACAGAGAGGAGCTGGAGCTCATAGAGCAACTGCGAGAGGTATGCAAACACACTCACACATAATCTAAGTATGTAAATTAACTATATTAGTTGGTTAGTGACTAAATATATGGCTATACAATGGCCCCACAGAGTATATGAACACTTCAGTAACACTTAAAAAATAATTGAATGTCTATATTAGCATAACACTTTTCAAGCAAAAAAAAAGTCACAAGGAGAAATCTGTAAAACAATAGCTATACTGTTCAAAATATAAAAAAGGGGTTTATTATAGGGCATATTTCTTGATTGTGGCACAAATATCCAAATTATTTTAACAATATATAGATTTATTTTCCATAATTTCTTTAGCAATATGAATAATATTTGTAGGAAACTGTTTTATTTATAACCCAATCATGTTGATTTTGTCAGAGTATAGAGAGCAGACTGAAAGTAGTTCTTCCTGAAGATCTGGGCTCTTCTCTCATGGATGGGGTCGTGCTTTGTCACCTAGTCAATCACATTCGTCCACGTTCAGTGGCCAGTATCCATGTACCATCCCCTGCAGTGGTGAGTCATCTCTGAATTATTCACACATTTACATAAACACTATACAGTACACTACCATTCAATAGTTTGAGGTCAGTACAATTTTTTTTATATATTTTTAAAATATTTTTAAAGAAGTCTCCTATGCTCACCAAGGCTGCAGTTATTTGATCAAAAATGCAGTCAAAACAGTAATATTGTGACCCGAAGGTCACAGGTTCGATTCCCAGCACCGGCAGGAATTGTAGGTGGGGGCAGCTCTCTCTTCCACCCTCAGTGCCAATGACTGAGGTGCCCTTGAGCACCAAACCCCCAAATGCTCCCTGGGTGCCACAGCAAAAATTGCTGCCCATTGCTTCGGGGGTGTGTGTGTTCACTACTTACTGCTGTGTGTTTGCACTTGGATGGGATAAATGCAGAGTACACATTCTGAGTATGGGTTACCATACTTGGCTACACATCACGTCACTTTTCACTTTAAAATAATTGTAAATTGTATCTTTTTTTTTAAGTATATTTTATTCATGCAGCAGCCATTACTCCAGTGTCCCATGATCTTTCAGAAATCATTCTAATATGCTGATTTGGTGCTCAATAAATATTTTTTATTGACATCAATGTTAAAAATAGTTGTGCTGCTTAATATTTTGTGGAAATTGTGGCAATTTTTTTTTCAGGATTCTTTGATGAAAAGAAAGTTAAAAAGAACACCATTTATATAAAATGGAAATATTTTGTAACATTATAAATATCTTTACTTTCAATTTTGATGTGTCCTTGATGAATAAAAAAATATTAATTTCTTTAAAAAACACATACTGACCCCAAACGTTTGAATGATAGTGTTTGATAGCCTGAAGTTTGTTAATCTGTGTTTTCTCTCTCTCTCTCTCTCTCTCTCTCTCTCTCTCTCTCTCTCTCTCTCTCTCTCTTTTACATCTTTGTGTGGATGCGTTAAACCTTCAGCCCAAGCTTAGCATGGCTAAATGTCGCAGAAATGTTGAAAACTTTTTGGACTCCTGCAGGAAAATGGGAGTCCCTGAGGTGAATATTTAATTTTTTTGTGAATGCCAAATGAACTAGATGTGTTTCTCAAGGGCCACTGTTTGTACAGGTTTTGCTGTACTAGTCTCTTACGTACAGTGACAGTCCTAAATTAAAAACATTAATTTACTGGAATTGGTGGTCAACAATTTATCGTACTACCGTTGTCTGGTTTTATTATTTATTTTAAATATATTATAAAAATGTGACCTTGACAAACATTGTCTGACAGTTTCAGTCTTTCCCATATTTCCTACATAGAATAATATCTGCCTTGGGGTATTACCGCCAACTGAGCTGTTTTGCATTTAAGGGAATTTCGTCTTATTCTTATATGGTGAAAGATTACCTGTAAAGCTGATTCTATACACTTTACAGACTATACCCGACCACCGAATTTCCTGTTTAATTTAGGACCGATCTGGATCTCAGTCTGGGAAACCTGTATGGTTAGTTCAAATGCGTTTCTGACAATGAACCTGTACACAGGGCTCCTTGAAAACAAATCCTGGTAAAAAGTACATGTTATTACTTGTCTGATTTTGATCATTAGCCACCCCTAATCTGATTGGTTGAAGCAGCTGAGATTGCTTTACACTGGTCTGTGATCAGTCACGCCCTTGAAAACATTTTGGAGTTATTTCGCTTTTGTGTTTATCAGCTTAAAAAAACTTCTGGACCTTCTCTGGTCAATACACTTAAAAATAAAGGTGCTTCACGATGCCACAGAAGAACCTTTTTGTCTAAATGGATCCATAAGGAACCTTTAACATCTGAAGAACCTTTCTGTTTCACAAAAGGTTCTTTGTGGCGAAAGAAGGTTCTTCAGATTACAAAAAGGTAAGAAAGAGATGGTTCTTTAAAGAACCTTTGACTGAATGGTTTTTTGTGGAACCAAAAAGAGTTCTTCTATATGGCATCGCTTGAAGAACCTTTTGAAGCATCTTTATTTTTAAGAGTGTAGATGTTGCGGAAAACTGATCATAGACCAGCATTTAAAGCCACTTTCTTCATATTACCCTACTAGAGCTGCATCATGCCGTTGTATTAAGATGTTATCATCATGGCTTTAGGCTTCATCCATTTCTAGGGCTCCATTCCATCCTGTTAATGGCTCTGACCTGCTCTCTGATAAATGATCATGTTTCCTTGAGCTGTGACAGAGAGAATTGCAGTGAACTGATAAACAAACGACAGACCATGACACATGAGTGGAACACATTTTTGTGTAAATTGTTTATAAAAACCTTTATTTCTTCAATTCAGTGTGTCATCAATTCAATTTGCATAATATATTGTCCTGTCCTGATAAAGCTAGAAGCAATCACAGCTATCACTTCCATGAAAATCTTTGTATGTCTTAACTAGCCACAGCGAGCACTATGTCCATGTTCCCTTGAAACATGGACAAAATGTTTGTTGTTGATATGATGTATCTCTTTTTGTGTACAGGAATCAAGTGAGGGTTGTTGGTCAATTTTGGGTCCACTTTTTTTGCTCAAACTGCGCAGAAGTTTCTATTGGTTATGCCATCCTACCAACCAAAAATGATTATAATACCATATCAGTAGCCTTTCTAGAAGGAACCCAGATGTTGTCTTCTGCTTTATGGGTTGAGCTTGGTCCAAGCCATTCATAACAGGCTGTTCTAATTAGTGTGACGTACAGGAAGCTTTTAATTGTCATAGCCTGTGTCTGTAGTAGCAGTAGCTACTATGAGTCTGCATGGCCGCCAGCTTTGTCACCATGTGTCTTTTGTGTTTGCTATCCTGATAGCTGATGTTAATCAAGCTAGTTTATTCTGTTAGCGTGTTTAGAGCTAATGTGGCAGGCCTTGTTTGTTCGGTAACTTCTGGTCATAGTAAAGTTTTTATATCATTGCCTTGTTTATCAACTTAGCCGAGTTGTTGAGTTATGCAACAATGTAGCTTGACCTGCTCTGCTCTTTACTGGCTTTTGCAGCTCTCTTGCTTTGTATTATTTTTAACGCTGTAGCTTGACTTGTGCCTGGCATACGCTCATTACTGCACATGCTCCGCTAACCACTGTGCGCCTGCTAACAGCATCTGCCCCAGCCACAGCTGCCTCCTGAAAGAGAGACAATGACTGACAATGTTCAACCTCACTGTCAGAAAACACTTTTTCAGAAGGCAGTAAGAGGGTCATTCTCGAGAAATGGTGCCATTTGTGCTTGAAAATGTGAGGGTTTTTTGGGGGGGGAAATATGATTTGGGGAAAAAAATGTATGTCATACATTATACATCATTAGTAAGTCATACATTATTTCCCCATAATATTTGTCATGTATATTAAGAAGTCATATTAATAATTCAATTAAAAGGGACTGTAAACACATTTATAATGTTGCTGTTCTTTTGAACTTAATATTTATCAAAGAATCCTGAAGGAAAATGTTTCTTGAGCACCAAATCAACATGTTAGAATGATTTCTGAAGCAAAACAAAAGTTTTAGAAAAATGTAGACATTAGTCTTAACCTTTGTGCCAAGAATATGTTATTTAAGATGACAACTATTGAGATTGATACAAACTCAAATAACTGAAAAGCTAGTATACACTTACACCTGTTTGAACCATGTGGTCAACAAAGAGACAGATGTTATGATTTTAATTTTATTTATTTTTTTTTATAAAGAGGGAAAATTTACTGGTAACTGGTTGACCAGAATGCTATATAACTCATTTTGATTGGCAATGAATGTATTGGCAATGAAGGAGGACATTCAAAATGAATGATATTTCGATGAAAAACTTTTGGTAACACTTTATTTTAGGGTCTCTTAACTAGTTGCTTATTAGCATGCATGTTATTACAATATTAGCCATTTATTAGTACTAGTTAAGCACATATTAATGCCTTATTCTACATCCCTAATCCTACCCAATACCTAAACTTAACAACTACCTTACTAACTAATAATAAGCAGCAAATTAGGAATTTATTGAGGGAAAAGTCGTAGTTAATAGTGAATAAGTGTTCCCTATTCTAAAGTGTTACCAAACTTTTTTTTTTAAATACATTTCTTTGATTTTAAATTGTTGCAGTACACACTAAACTGAGGAAAACATAAAACAATGTGACTTAGTTCAGTATCTTGTTAACTACATTATCAGTAAAGTAATCATTGGGAACACATTTATTACACAACTGGAACCGTTTCCTGAGAATGATCCAGAATTCTTGCCATTTGTTGAGCTCAAAGCATTTTACCTTTGACCTTTATCACTGTCTAATCACCTTCCTTATCTTTCTCTGTTGCCGGACGGATGATCTCTCCTTTTCTCATTTTGCTCCATTCTTCATTATTACTCTATTCTCTTCTCTTCTCCTCTTCCTCTTCCTGGTTCTCTTTGTCATCCTCTCCATGTTTTGAATCTCTCTCAGTCCTCTCTCTGTTTGGCTTATGACGTTCTGCAGTTTAACCTGCGTCCGCTCTGGGCCGTGGTCGCGGCCTTGCTCATGGTGGAGAGCACAGGAACAAGGCAGAAGGAAGGAAAGGTGGAGAGTGGCAGGGAGAAAGAGACAGAGGTCAAGAAGCTTATCCCCGAGTCCACTCAGACTCCACCCCCTTCCTGGCAAATATGGGATCTGATTGGCTCAAGTCTACTGCACGTGTTCTGTCTGGTGATGCTGTTTGTGGCCTACAGCTGGAGCGAATTTAAATAACGCATATGAACTAAAAACACTCAAATAACACATTATATTATTTACTGGTCCTTGAAAGCACATTGAACAGTTTGTGATGGCCTCACTTAAAGGGAAAGTCCACCCAAAAAATGAAAATTCTGTCATCATTTACTCACCCTCAAGTTGTTCCAAAACTGCTTTCTAGTTTTGGATTCTGTGGAACATAAAAGAAGATATTTTGAAGAATGTGGGTAACCAAACACTTGCTGGTACCCATTTACTTCCATAGTATTGTTTTCCAAACTATGGAAGTCAATGGGGACCAACAACTCTAAGTAAGGATGACAGAATTTTCATTTTTGGGTGATCTATCCCTTAAAATGAGCACAGCCTGGACGAAAAAATATTTGTTCCTGTCAGTCAGAGCACATTTAGTTTCATATGTTTGACCAACCCTTACATCTTGACTTGGCTATGATGAAACCCATACAAAACACAAAACATGCAACATTTTTGTAAGAACAGCATGTGATCCAGGAAGAGATTTAGATGTTTTCATGTTTGATTAAGTGTTATTTATTAGTTGGCAAATAACATATTTATTTGTCCTTGCAAAATGCTAAGAAAACCTTTAAACAGCACTTTAATAAGGAACGCCAAATGGCCAGGTTCTCACTCACTTCCACCTCGGTACAAAACGTGTTTCAGAAAGTTACATTTCAGCAGTCATAGCACTGAATTTTGTTGGTAGTCTTAAAAAAATGCACATATTAAACAATATAAGTTATATATTTATTAGCATCTGCATGATAAAACAAAAATAAAACAAACGGATATAGAGGTCTTGCCTCAGTCATGCCGGTGATCAGCAATATATCTACAGGAATCAAGCGCACAGTTGATCTGCTTCACAGAAACAATCTGCAGATAATAATACCAGGACACTCGAGTAAGTGAAGGCCCAGATGCCATTAAAGCGAAATGATAGCTTTGCTTTGCACAGAAGTCTTGTATGGGGAGATCAAATCTATGATTAACAACATTTAATCATTTGTGTAAGGGCTAATTTATCTGTTGGATGTAAAAAGCAGCTACTTTTGGTTTTTAAGAGCCTGATATATTATTGTTTAGATTGGGAATTATTAAATATCCTGCACAGTCATTGTAAATTATTACATTGTTATTTTATCCAAAACGCCATCTATAGGATGAAAGAGGTCAGCATATGATTAATGAATCATGGGTTTCATTTCCTGTTTATTAGTAAAACAGAATGACATGAACAGAGTGAACCAAATGTATTTTTGAATTAATTTAATAAGCATCATTCCACGGAGATATGACTAATCCGAATCAAACAATGAGGAATAACAGGGTTGGAGAATAAGATTTAATTCATATACTCTTATCAGAGATCTGTAATAGAGGCCGAGGTGGGTTTTTATATTATGAAATATCAGATTGACACAATTTTAATAATTGACTAATCAGTGTAGTGGTTGTATGTGATTTACTGCTGTGAAGGTCTGTACGCAAGGTGTCTCTGGAATGGAGGGTCTCTTCTGATTGGATCCTCTGATTCTATTTTAGGTTCCGATCTTTATCTCACATAGTTGAATGGCCTTGTTTATCTCATCACAGATAAAAGAAATCTGTAAATGAGCAGACAGTGATGTCACTGAGGCCTCTTGACATCACTTCCTCAAACTACAGAATGCTCTGAACCTTATCTGAATAACTGACATTGCTTTCATCATTCAGTTTGACAAAAAATAAAGGCAATATTGACTGTTCAAGACCTTTTGTTCGGTATAATTTCCCAGTTATTTCCTCATTTGTAAAAAAGCTACAAGATGCGAAATGTGTTTGAATTGCTTATTTTGAATTGTTTGAAACGCTCTGACGGTTCAGCTGCTTCTGTTTGTCCGGCTCTAGACTTCTTGACTCCTGTCAGTGTTGAATAGTGTTCAGTGCTGTTGCTGCTGGTAATGGATTTTGTAAGGCTTTGTGGTTTTTATGAGCCTGTAAATGAAAGGAATAAATGTACAGTTTGCGTTGTTTTTCTCATCTGAGTGGTTCTGTTTCTTTAAGACAATTTTTGTTTTACTGTTTAGTTTTTTTTTTTTTTTTTTAGAAAATACACTGCCGTTCACATTTTTGGGGTCAGCAAGATTTTCATGTATTTTTAGTGCTGTCAAATGATTAATCGCGATTAATCGCATCCAAAATAAAAGTTTTTGTTTACATAATATATGTATGTGTACTGTGTATATTTATCATGTATCTATAAATACACACACATACAATATATATTTTGAAAATATTTACATGTGTATATACATTTATATATTTATATTCTTATATTATAAGTATATTTAATATATAAACAACATATTTTTCTTAAATGTATACATGCATATGTTTGTATTTATATATATACATAATAAATATACACAGTACACACTCATATATTATGTAAACAAAAACTTTTATTTTGGATGCGATTAATCATTTGACAGCACTATTTATTTTATATTTGATTGTTTGCATAACTGATATTATATTTGAATGAATGAATGATGCATTTATATAGCGCTTTATTTGGCATCACTGCTAAACGAGGTGAGTCTCTGTTGGTTTCATTAACTGTATTCAGTAACGAGAGCATTCAGTTTAATAAATTATGTATAGTAAAAAAATCAGTTTTCCATGACTGTGGGAACCCTGTCTCTTTCATCTCTGCCATGACACTTTGCTTGTCCTCTGTCAATCTCTCTCTCCAGGATAAGTTATGTCTGCCACATCATATTCTGGAGGAGAAGGGCCTGATCAAAGTTGGCATCACTGTGCAAGCTTTGCTAGATGAGACTTCGGTCAACGAAACACTCATCACATGAGTCACACAAACACAAGCAAGTCTCACTGACACACACTAATTCCTGTGGATGGACATGCACCTTGTGCTGCAGAAGTTGACCTCCACCACCAGACGATCTGTGAGAAATTCCTTGGACAGTGTCCATTTATTTCTATTAGAACAGATGATCCTCAGCTTGCAGGTATATGCTTATGTTTTCCTCACTCTCTTTACTTTATTATTTAGTACTGTTATCTGATCACTGTTGCCCAGGCCATAGTCGTGTAAGCAAAATCAGCTCAAAACTAGCTCGAGATATGAAATTCCTTTATTTAATATACATTTATTTATTAAACAGTTAGTTGAGGGATATACATAATTGTGCACAATTCCTGATGGATCTACCTATGTTTAGATTATATGATATTTGTTTTGGGCCTTTAGTGATCTAGATTTAAAACACCTGTCCTCCCAGAGTCCTTCAATAACCACATTTTAACTTGTGTTTGGGAGACGTTGATGTTTTGTCTCAGGGGAGGTGTGGCCTCACTATAGTTTCCTACAGTCTCTGCTCTGCTTACCTGTCAGTCAGGTATGATTTCACTAAAAGAGTATGTTTGAGTGTGTGGACAGTAGAAAACATACCTGACTTTTGTTTTCATTTGTGTATGTGTAATCGATATCTTGAGGAGAGTATTTCTTTTGGGAGAGTGAGAGAACGAGAGCACATGTTGGCACTTTTTGTATGTAAGTTTGTGTATCAAAGAACATTTTTTCTCTATTATTTTACTTGTGCATATTTGCTTATGGAAAGTCCGATGTCCAAAGCTTCAGCTCCTCACAGATTCAGCCATGAAACAGACCAAAACATCTGAAGCTGGAGATTATTTGACAGTTGCCAAAATCATTTTCTTATATCAAACCGATTTACAAACATAATCATTTTATACAGTTTTTTAAATGATTTAAATGTATTCTTAAAAGAAGAGTTTTGTATTTGTAGAAGGATTTGTAATGTGATATTGGTGTGTGAATGTGTAAAATGTACAGAACGTTTATATTTGATGTGCTTATTTTAATATGTTGATTTGGTGTTTATTTTACGTAAAGCACAATTTATTAATGTGAATGGACGAGGGAAAAAACAACTTATCTTCTAGGTTATTATATGAAAGCAGTTATAACACTTCCATATGTCATTTCAGAGAGACTGTTGGCTGTAATTATTTATTCATGACAATAATTTAAATGCATTCAGTACAAATACATTTACAAGGATTATCTCTGTACTGTAATTGCCAACAAAATATATTATCTGCTCTTAAAACATTATTATACTGTAGCAAATATTAGGGACAAAAATCTGGCCAGAAGCTTTTAAGTTTGAACACCAAAAACATGGTGCATCATGGGTTAAAATGCTATCTTAATCATATTTATACTACTTCCTAGATTTTTTACACCATAAACCTGTCATAATTTGTTTAAAACAAATGGGGAAAAAATGAAAGTGTGGATTAGAAAGTGTAATTTTAGAGACATTTGAACAGATAGCACTTAGATTTTGGTCTTTGGTGGTAGCTTTACATGGTATTTTACAAGCCTTTAATGTTGCATTTCTTTAAAAATTCATGCATAGTTTAGACTGTAGTCGCTTCCTATAAATTCACTGCTGTATCTTTTAAGAAATTCTGTTCTTAGGGTTGTCCTCAGACATTAAAGGGGTCATCGGATGCAAAATTCACTTTTGTTGTTGTTTGAACATAAATGTGTGTTGGAAGTGTGTGTACACATCCATCCTATAATGATAAAAATCCACCCAGGGGTTTATTAAAAAAATCCCTATCTATTCTCAAATCAGGCCGTTCTGAGATTACTGTCAGAATGACGTAATTCTGCGCAGGCACCTCCCACGATAGTTGATTGACAAGGCCGTCTTACCTTAGACCCGCCCTGAGTGAGCTGTGGGTTGTCCGCCATTCGACTCGGGTGCAGGGGAAGACAAGAATGTCTCCGATTAAGCGATTGTAGGTGTTTTGTTGCTGGATGTAATAATGAGCATAGCAGTCGTCATTTACTCCTGACATCTGAGCTGCTGAAGACGCAGAAGATTAACATTACTTTTGTTTTTGAAAGTAATGCGCCGATCCCCGATCTGCCTAAATGTGTTTAAGTTCGCGCTAATCATTCATGAGCCAGCTTCATCTACAGAAGTGAGTATAAGGTTTTTTTTTATTTTATTTTTTATGAATCTTTGCAAAACGCCTTTCCTAATATGTGCTAGTTTCGTGGCTGAAGTTTACAGTCTGCTCGTCACCCCACGGAAGAGAGAGGTGGGGTCAGCAGAGCTCATTAGCATTTAAAGCAACATGGACTAGAACGGCTTGCTGAAAACGGCTGATTTTGACAGTGTAAAAAGGGTGTTTTTTACACTACCATTGAGAAATTTTAACCAAAGTCTGTTATAGATTTCAAGACCCTAAAGTATATCAACTTGTGGAAAATGGGCATCCGATGACCCCTTTAAAAACACTGAGTTGAGGTTTATTGTTTATATTCATTCAAGTACAGTATCAAAATGTCTGCTACAGTGTGGGCAAGTTGTGCATCATTACTGTACTGTCAACATTCCCCACCACTTCACACATACTAGATAGAGGTTTAAATGCAGATTTGATTTTGAAACGACAGTTTTTTGCACTTTACGTATTTGGGACTGTCTTTTTGGCAACTGGCAAATATTATTTATGCATGGTATTATATTACAGTATTTGGGGAAAATATCAGCTGATCAGATCACTCTTGTGTTTGATAAATCGCTTTAAAATGGGATACAAATCTTTAACTGCTGAATGTCATGAGGCTATTTTGTCTACTTTGATGTATAAGGAGAAAAGGCTTGTACTAAACATTTTTGTATTTTAATTTTATAAATAAGAATTATTTTTCCATGTCTTATCAGTGTTTGGGATTTTACACCTTTGTAATCCTGTGAACTTTAAATGCATGTTCAGTAATGCTTTTGGGGAAAAGCATGCATGTCACTCCACCTTTTGCCTTAACCTCTGCAAATAAGGTTTATTTTTACCAACTTCTACCAGTAAATACTTTCACCTTCAAAGACTAGTTTGTTTCTTAAACATTTAAGGTATTGTAGACATGACAATAATGGTGCTATTATTTGCCAAACTACATTGATCCAATGTCTGAACCATTTAGCCTGCTTTATTTAATGGAAACGAGGGTTTGTTAATAGCATTCTGAGTAATTGTGTGCAAAGGAGTCGTTCACAAAATTAATTTACACAAATGCAGAAGGGACTTTGATAATTCACTGCAGAGCAACAAATACAAAATCACAACCAAATGCCTTTATTTAAAGAAATGTAATGTCTACAGCTAAACATCACCCTATTCATTTTTCTGTAAGAAAATACAGAGTTGGACTGCAGTTTGAGAGCCATTCACCTTCAAAGACTAGTTTGTTTCTTAAACATTTAAGGTATTGTAGACATGACAATAATGGTGCTATTATTTGCCAAACTACATTGATCCAATGTCTGAACCATTTAGCCTGCTTTATTTAATGGAAACGAGGGTTTGTTAATAGCATTCTGAGTAATTGTGTGCAAAGGAGTCGTTCACAAAATTAATTTACACAAATGCAGAAGGGACTTTGATAATTCACTGCAGAGCAACAAATACAAAATCACAACCAAATGCCTTTATTTAAAGAAATGTAATGTCTACAGCTAAACATCACCCTATTCATTTTTCTGTAAGAAAATACAGAGTTGGACTGCAGTTTGAGAGATAGTGAACCAGTCAAGACATGGCTCCGATGTCATTTCCAGCTGTGTAGATACTGTAGGTTTCGTTATGATCTGAAAGGCACAAGGGATGGTTGCCATACTCATGACGCACAGTTTCAGGCATTCAGATATTTGGCATGGTGCTTGATGTGGTCGTTGATGAAGGAGAAGATGAAATAGTAGCTGTGATCATAACCCTGTTAGAGCAAATGAAACAAAAAGACTGAACCAAAGAGTGCTGATTTTGTCTTAAAATATATACACACCATTATAAAGGGTTAAACATGTATATGTAATCATGAGTCCTGAATTGGTTCTAGTTAGATTTGTTGCATTAATGGAAAATCGATTTAAAATATTCAATTTAAGTCAATGCATTAAATATTCAGAATACTCAAGTCAATGTATTTAAATCCAAAGGCCTGTCCAGGCATCAGTCTGAGACCACAAGTGAAAATGCTTCCATTTCTTTACCATTTAATACAGAAATATTCAGCATAATCATTTTTGTGAAAAAAAAAATTATTCTATCAGCACAAAACATCAAGGTACTGTTTAATCAACTAGACTTCCCTACATGTAGTTCCTTTTCTTGGTTCAGTACTGACCTGCTGAAGGCGGAAAACAACAGGAATTTTCTTCTTGGAACAGGCAGCGATCAGATTGTCAGGAAGCAGCTGACTGGCAGATAAGAACTGGTCATCACGGCCTTGATCAATCAGAACATCAAGCTCAGGCCCGGAATATGATTCAGCTAATACAGTAGCATCATACGACTGTGGAGATGACAGAGGAAGACAGTTAAGATAAAGCGATTCCTGCTGTTGGACAATGTGGTGTGCTAAGGTTTAAAAAAAAAAAAAAAGAAAGTTAAATCAATGATTAAGAAACAAGATATTACACACTGCTATATACACTTTAACGGTTTGGGGTCGGTAAGATTTTTTAAATGTTTTTGAAAGAAGTCTCTTGCTCACGAAGACTGCAGTTATTTAATCAAAATACTATAAAACAGTAATATTGTGAGATATTTAAAAAATGTAACTGCTTTCTATTTGAATACATTTTAAAATGTTATTTATTGTTGTAATGGCAAAACTGAATTTTCAGCATCATTACTCCAGTCTTCAGTGTATCACGAGATTCACGATCCTTCAGAAATCATTCTAATATACTGATTTGCTCAAAAAATATTTCTTATTATCAATGCTGAAAACAGTTGAGCTGCTTAATATTTTTTGTGGAAACCATAATACTTTTTTTCCGGATTCTTTGATGAACAAAGTCCAAAAGAACAACATTTATTTGAAAGAGAACATTTTTTTAACTTTACGGTCACTTTTGATTCATTTAATGCATCCTTGATGAATAAAAGTATTAATTTATTTCAAAACAAAAAAATAACCATTCATAAATGACCAGAGATTTACGAACGGTATAAACCATCTCTCACCTCCCAGGTGGACTTGTCAGGTCCAAGATAGCCAGAAAAAGCTTTCTGTCCCCATGCACATTGTATAGGGTTACAGATGGGTGCAAACGCTGACACTGACTGAAACAGGCACATGTATAAAAAAAAAATTCAGACTGAATATTTAAATATCAAACAACTAAATGAAGAAGCAGTATATGTAATGTCAAAAGTGCCATGCCTTATATTTCCCAGGATTCTTAAGTGCACAAATGAGAGCACCGTGGCCCCCCATGGAGTGACCAGAGATGGACATCTTCTCCGGATCAGCAGGGAAGTTAGAATTAATCAGCCGTGGGAGCTGGGAACAAGAGAAAGGTGATGAAGCCATTGAGTGTAAAAGCCAATGTTTAATATTTAACTGTAAAAGTCTTCATTTAAGTGCTTATTAGAGTTTCACTTTGTTATCCTAGTGACTAACTAGGCTTTGGAACATATAAAGTACACACACCTCTTCGGTGACATACGAGTACATGCGGTAGTTGGTCTTCCAGGGCTCCTGGGTGGCATTGACGTAGAATCCTGCACCTGTCCCAAAGTCCCAGCTCTCATCCTCTCCTTCAATGTTACAGCCACCTGACCAGAGCAGAATCATCATTTTATGAAAATGTGTTAAGTGTTAATGAAGCTATATTAGCATTGGTTGGCTCAAATATTTCTGATCACGAAATAACAATAGCCAGTGGTTTATCACTTTCTTATCTCAACAGTACAGACTTATATAATATAGTAATAATTTACATTTGGTTTATGCATTAATTGGCATTTTTCCAAGCAGTTGAATGACTTGAAACTCTAGCCCCTGACCTAAACTGGGAAGTCACAGTGCTTTTTGATCCTCAGGGGAAACTTATTTGTTTATCTATATGTTGCAGTAATGCATTGACCTCCCAAGGGACCTCAGTTTCCATAATTATTATATTTTGGCCCATGAACCTCAAGGATTAGGCTGAGCAGAAGCCAGTTATAGAGCGTAATCCCTTCAGAGATGCACCAGCAAGACTGTAAACTGAAAATGTTCAGATGTTTACGTGGACTGGTGTCTGGGGCTACAATGATGATCCCATGTTCAGAAGCCGCCTGCTGGCTCCCTGCCTTAGTGATGAAGTTTTGCTCTGTGCATGTCAAACCTACAAAACACAGTGGATGGTACATTTTTTGATGATACATTTTTTAAGGACAATGCTGGCTGTGTATATAATGCATATTGTTGGCTTTTTGACAAATTGGCTTTATTTCTCTGGATAAAAGTGTCAGTTAAATGCATAAATGTAAATAGACATAGGCCACAACATTTGTCCAATTTATAACGACCTAAACTTCAGTATGCAGTATACAGAAATAGTAGCTAGACTCATTCACTCAAACAGGCCTAGAGAAGAGAAACGAAATGAAGTCAAGCACCTGAAAGCCAATAGAACACTGGGCATTTGGAGCTCTCGGCCTTGGGAGGAAGGTAAATGGCGAACTTCATTTTGCATTTTAATTCGGAGCTGGAAATAACAGTTTATGTTAAGAGCAGTAAAGTGAACTTTTCATTCAGGCGTTTTAATGAAGCGCAGTCTCTCTCACCTGTCATGCTCGAACACTTTCTGATATCCATCGCTGCACTTATTAGAAGAAACTTGCGTTAATGCCATTGCACTGTTTACTCTGCTGAGAAAAATCAAAGTTCCGAGTTATGAAAGATCATATTTCATACATAATCACTCTGCACTCGCATGCAAACATATGCACGAACATCACTTCATGATGACATCCATGCATAAAGAGTGATCTTTTTAGTTCACGTTTCATGTTTCTGAACACCATTTGAGGCTTGTTAAATAATTTTGTTAAACGATTCATATTTAACACTCTGGACTCATGGAGTCTGCGCATGCGCACTGCAGTTACTGGCCTGCCAAACTCAGCACTGCTTGAAGGATCTGCAGAAAACGACCAAAAGAAGCACTTCAGGACGTTTGAAATAATGCCAAAACTTGCGCTAAAGAAAGTTACGTTTTATTTGGCCCCCGTATAACACTCCTCATCATGCAAGATACTGGCCTGGATAGGCTATTGTTTTGTAGCACTTACCGCCGCAGCTAAACGACCCAGAGTTCAGTGTGACGTCAAGGTCAGCGTAAGACGTAAAGTCACGCCCCCTTACGTTTTTCTCGTATAGTCTGTGCTTCTATGTTTTGGCCAAAAAGGGGCGCTCGAGTGATATGTTTGTTTAATGTGTTTTTTTTCTTAAGTGTGTTGACTGAACATTGTGCGACCATATGAAATTACATTTTCAAACTTATATTTGTAGTTCATGAACTATATAATTGTGATCATGAAGTTAGCCGGTTTGTTTTAATAAATTAATTAAATGTAAAGGTCAAATTTATTGGACAGTGATCCATAATTTATTGAAAAGTAACATATTTTTACTCTCGAAATATATGACACTGGCCTTCGAGATGCATATAAACACCCTCTGACTATGTACTATTTTAAATCTGAGGATGATAGCTCTAAAACGCATCTCACATCTAAACATGCTTGCTTCTCTATATAGTATTTAAAAACCAGTCTGTCATTTGAGTAGGATGTCTAATTGCACACAATTCAGTAAGTGAACAGTGCATCTGCTAACGTTTTGAAGTGTGCAATCAATGAACACTTCTTTATAAGTGCATCTAAGACTCGAAGTACATCACATCTGAAAAGTTGAAGAAAAAAAAGTCACAGAACAGTGAGCCAAATGATCATTTTCAAGTGCTATTGGTAGAGAGAAAGTTGTTCCTCGGGGTTACATTTTCTGTAATTATACAAACGCAAAAAATTGAGTAATTTTTGCTGCACATCTGCTCCTTAGATTACATAATTTAGTTGGAAATGGATATTAATAATAATTTTCTCTCTCTCTGTATGTACACTTGCCATTAAAAATGTATCTTACATGATTAAACATGTTTGTACTTTGTTAATTATGACATAATACAAGGATGAACTTTTGTGAATGAGATTGTCAACAGAGGTCAAACCAAGCAGTCTTGGATATTTCTAATGATGTATAGTTACAAATACACAAAATAATGATCTTTAAAAAAGCATCATATGACCCCTTTAAATTAGAAGTTAATTGTTATGTTGTACCCTGGCGCATACTAACGAGTCAATATTAAGAGTCAATATTACTCTTTCATTTATAGTGCAGGATGTGCAGCTGAAAATAATATATCAGTGCCCAGCCTAACAGTGTATTGCAGGTAACATTACATCAGTTACAATAACGCTCAATTTTTTTGGCTCTACTAAAATCTTAATTTGTCTTTCATATGACTCCATTTAATTTCCCCATGAAATCCAATTATTTGTCATCAAATGTCCTAGCCGTATCGGCTCATTTATCCTTTTTATCGTTATGGGCTGTTAATGAACTTTATTCTTTTGGTGTCCTTCACTTCAAAACGACTTCTGTTTCAGTCACCTTAAGTACTGCCATCATTTATAAACCACTCCGTGTGATTCAGAACCTACTTCCACTGCACTGCATGCTAAATGTGATCAGGATGAAATGACAAACTCCATGGAAACATGTCACGATGAGCATCCTTTCTAAAAACGAAATAAATAGTAATGACCACATACGGCAGAAAATACATTAGTGGCCCCTTGTTAAAGACGAATCGCAGGCTGTCCAGACAATTACCCGAGCATGGAACGGAATGCTTACTTAATTTAACTGCAAAAACACAGTGTACTGAAGAACAGGAAGAACACAATCAATCTCTCCCCATCAGCTATCTGTAAAGGCATTTTACCTTCAACATGTTTTATTGTTTCCCTAATAGAAGCCACAAAATATTTAAGAGAGAAGTATTTTGCCTTATATGATAGCAGCTAGAGTAATCATTTGATCAATTATAATTCTCCAGTGTTCTAATGTTTCCAAATATTCACTGTTGGGTGTGTGTAAGCTTGTTTCTGCTATGGGATAAAAAAAATAATTAAATAAAAGTAATTGAGACTTTTCATCCCACAATTCTGACTTTTTTTCTTGTAGTTCTGAGAATAAAAGTCTGAATTGTGAGTTAAAAAAAATCGCAATTAACTTTATTTTTTATTCTGTGGCGGAAACAAGCTTCCATACATCTGGTTCAGGTCTTTTGTATGAGCTTTGTTAAAGATTAAAACTGTTTTACTCAAGATGCCTTCAAAGGAACAACCAAAGATGAGCATAACGAATTTCCATCATGTTTTTGGTCAAATTCCAAAAAGACAAAGTGCACTTCAAATACTCAAACGATTCACTTATTTAACCGCAAAAATGTAATTCATGCACTTGACTGTCAAGCTTTCCTTAGACTCCAATGCTCAATAACAAAATACGCTTATAAAATTAATACACTAAAGAGTGGAGTACATAGTTCATAGAGTATAGTAAGTAATTTGGGACACAACTATACTTTCAGTGGTACCACACTATAATACTCTTTATCTGGACACTCTATAACACCCTTTAAGGGCCATTGTCTGTAGTAAAACTTGCATGTTGTTAATTGGGCTTCACACATGCAGCATCAGTCAAGAGCCACAGTCTTTGGTTTCTAAAGGAACTTAGTCTGTTGAATGACTCACACATAATATATGAACACCAAATCTGTTTAGCTGAAAAGGAACTTGATCACACGTCCACCGGTATGAATAATCACTAAGGTCTGAATGGCTTACTGATTTGAAAGGCTTAATAATAGGCTACTCTCAATGTTCACACATTAGACAAAGGCTAACCTCCAATATTAAGATGAAGTGAGCTGTAATCACCCTTTGATACAAAATTACTTTTTTTTTAACTAAGTGATTTGAACTCATTTGTTACAAATTTAGCATAAGTACATACCGATGAAGCATGAAAAGAGTGAGATTTACAGCCAAGGTGACACACACTTGCAAACTGATTTGATTTACAGTTACACATCAAGACCAAGGCTTGTGATTTGTATAGAGTGCAAAAGAATGTAGTCTAACCTTGTGATGGTTAAGGTGGATGCCCTTATCCTGCCTAACACTAAATCATGTCTGACCACTGATCTATAATAGAGATTATATATAGATCAGTGTGTCTGACGCTTTCTTTCACTGTTGTTAAATGGATCTTCTTCTCTTTTTTTAACATTGTTTTTATTTAATCATAATATTTTCATTGAACATTATTTATTTTTATTTATTTTATTGCATTTTACTTTTCATTAAAATTAGATTTTTTTTTAATTATTTTATTGAATTATATTTCAGATAGTTTATTGAATTCTGCAGATTTAGGATTTAGGATACACTCATACTGTGATAAATTAAATCATTTATTTTGTATTTATTTATTTTACTTATTGCTGCCATTTAAATCTGTAGTTAGAATTTAGGATTTATAACTAACTACACTTGTACTGTTACATAATTTTAGCAGATGTGTTTATTTTTATTGAATTTTAATTTTTTTATAATTTATTGCAATTCATTTTTAATAGAATTGTCTTTTTATTTTTTATTTATATATTATTTTATTGATTTTTTTTATTGATTTTTAACACCACAACATTAAGTTTTTTATGAATTTAAAATATAATTTATTATCCATTTTAGAACATTAATTTCAAATATATACACATTTAAACTATCAATAAGATGTGAATTACCTGAAATAATACCACCATCCTCTCGTCTCTCTCAGCTCTAAGACTGATCACCTGAGGATAAGAGCACAACCGAAAAAAGGAAATGACATGGTCACGTGATTCACCGCTCTTGCCGAAACTGTGAAGATCAGAACCGGCAAGGGGCCTTTCCAATGATAAACCATTTCAATAGATTTATTTCACACTGAGCTATAGCCTGCACTCCAGCAATTTCCAAATGCTCTGTTTTTGAAACTGAAAGCGTGTTATTTTCTTGGCACTCTCAAAAGAAATATGAAGCAGAGCTGCACGCAGAAACTAGCCAACTGGCCTTGACTGCACATTAATCTTCCGCAGATCTTTGATTTTAAGAACACGCTCTAGAATTATGATGCTTTTATGGTGCGGTTTAGATTACAGCTGTAAAAACCAATAAAGTACTTAGAAACTGTACCCTAGCAGAAAAAAAGCAGAAGGTCAGAAAAGCTGTGGAAACATTACCGCTGTGGGTACCTACATTCACCCTGAGAGAGTATATATCTCACGCATGTCATCTGCTATGAAAAAATGAATTTACACAGTATGAGATACACATAATACATCTTTAAGTGGTGAGAACCACTTTAGATCAGTCCTGTATCACAATAGCTTTAGCATGCTGAGTGTCTTCAGCTATTATAACCAACATATTTATGTGCCTGCAGACCGTATTACTCAAATCAAGTGTCACACGTGCTTATTAATGAAAAATAGATGTGCACTGATAGTCAATTAGCAAGCTGACTAGATAATCATCCCATCAGAGAGATGAAGCTATCATAACAGCTTAAAAAATCGACGTGGGTCAGGCATCCAGATGTGGCAAATGCTTCATCACCGCTGTGGTCAGTGAAAAGCTCAGCTGAGATTTACTGTCAGTTTCTGGCTGGATCAGAGGCATCCAAGATCATTTCATCTACTACCTGTCAGTCTAAAAGCAATTTAACACATGGTAAGAAAGGGAAAGGGTGGAGAAAAGGAAGGCATAGAAGATTAAAAAGAGGGAATTTGTTTGTACACTCTTAAAAATAAAGGTGCTTCAAAAGGTTCTTCAAGCGATGCCATAGAAGAACCATTTTTGGTTCCACAAAGAACCATTCAGTCAAAGGTTCTTTAAAGAACCATCTCTTTCTTACCTTTTTATAATCTGAAGAACCTTCTTTCACCACAAAGAACCATTTGTGAAACAGAAAGGTTCTTCAGATGTTAAAGGTTCTTTATGGAACCATTTAGACAAAAAGGTTCTTCTATGGCATCGTGAAGCACCTTTATTTTTAAGAGTGTATATGGTTATTTTGGAATTTTAATTGGAATAAACTTTTTCGCCTTTGTTCCTTGACTCGGTCCTGCCCTCTTTTAATGAGCTTCCCATGTATCACGGAGGTGATTTATTAATAAGGATTACAGGGCATGATGTGACATATGTAAATAATTTAGCATCAGC